GGCAGGGGCCTTAGAATGGGGACGTCGGAGCCGGCAGGGGTCTTAGAATGGGGACGTCAGAGCCGGCAGGGGCCTTAGATCGGGGGGCGTCAGAGTCGGCAGGGGCCTTAGAACAGGGGGCGTCAGAGCCGGGAGGGGCCTTAGAACAGGGGGCATGAGAGCCAGCAGGGGCCTTAGAACAGGGGACGTCAGAGCTGCCAGGGGCCCTAGAACAGGGGGCGTCAGAGACGGCAGGGGCCCTAGAAAAGGGGACGTCAGAGCCAGCAGGGGCCTTAGATCAGGGGATGTCTGAGCTGGGAGGGGCCTTGGGAATCATCCGTTCTGAACGTTCTCATATCACAGACAAGGAATCTGTGACCCAGAGGAGAGAAGTGGCCAATCCCAGGGCTCCTGGGCAGTCCACCCTCCTATAGACCTGCACCCTAAGGCTTCCCATTTTCAGTCTTGTCTTCCCAGCCAGACACTTGAAGCCCTTCACGGTGCTGGAAACACCATCGCTTAGGCCCCACAAATACTTGTGCAGAGGCTCGTGGGCAGAGGGATGGTAGCTGTGCCCTCTGTGGTCAGCGGGTCAGTGAGGGGACAGCAGGACAGCCTTGCTGCAGCTGGTCGGATGATGTAACATCACCGTGTGACAGGCCTCCAGCAGTCCTGAGATGTTCTCTAGCCCAATGAGCAGGGCGGGAAGAGGAGCGAAGGCAGACCGAGGCCTGGGGTCTGGTTGGGGCCATTGTTGGGAGGAGACAGGAACAAGGGGCCTGAGGGGAGGGGGTGGTGGCCTCTGGTTCACCGAGGCGTTGAGACTGGGAAGGAAGAAGAGTGACTGGCACGGGAGGGATGGCCTGGGCAAGAACCAAGGGCCCACTGAGGCTGATGGGCACAGAAGCTCAAGGTCAGCTTGAGGACACTCAGAGGTCATTCTCACAGAAGTAGCGCCTTCATGGGGAATGACTGGGGCGGGGGGACATATGCCCAGAGGGGTCATGACAACCAGGATGATCGTCCCCCTGGGGGAATCGAGGCAGGACCCCCGCAGCCCCCAACCAGACGGACAAACAGTGTTTGCCTGGAGCCAAGGACTACGTGGGCTCCCTGTTGGGCTCCTGGGGCCAGGCTGTGGGGGCTGGGCTGGGAACGAGGCTGAGGCCCTCCGAAGGACTAAGGACCATGGCCCATTGTCCTCCCAGGCAGGGAAGGGCAGCCCACACCCCTCACCTGTGGCAGGTCCAGCGTCTGGTCCCAGACCTGAGGCAGGGGCCTCCTGGCCAGCTCAAGCAGCGTGCTCACACAGCAGGTCAACAGGGGCCGGGCACCAGTCGGTGGCTCCCCTGCCACAATGCACTGGATGAAGAGGGGGAACCCCGCCGCCCGGCGTGTCACGGAGCTGTTCCGTGGACCACTCAGCAATTCCAGGCCCTCGGAGGCAAAGCGGGAGACAGGATAAGCAGGGGGAGAACAGAGCAGGAGGGGTCGGGGGTGATCCCGGCCCCATCCCTCTGCCCGCTAGGCTTCCCCTGGGTTGTGGGGGTGCCTGTGAAGGCACAAGAGGAGCCCAAGGAGGGCTGACGCGGGTGACACCAGGGAGGGAGCTGAGGGGGCAGGTACCTGCGACAGTAGCTGCTGGGGAAGTTCCTGCAGTTCTGGGTCAGGCTGGCTCAGCAATGCCCTGCAGACCGTGGTGAGGCCGGCAGCACAGCCCTCCAGAGCGCCCTGTTGGGAGGAGGGGCAGGAGAGGAGAGGGCTGGGACCAGAAGGGGGCAGCCTGCACCAGGCAGAATGTGCTGTGAGAATCTAAGCCTTGGGCCTGGTTGTACAGGGCATGGTGGGGAAAGGTTTTTGGTGAGGGAAACTGAGGCCAAGGAAGGGCAATTAGGACAGGCCATGTTGGTCACCGAGGTCCACCCCAGCCATAGCCACACCTTTCCTTCCAGGGCCGCAGCCTCAGGAGGCTGGAAGCCGGGGGGCCCAGGGCCCACCCCGGCACACCTGTCTAGCTGGGGAAAGGCAGGCCACTCACCCAGTGGCGGCACCTGAGAAGCAGCCCCTGCAGGGTGGCCACAATGGTCTGCAAGCCTTCCACAGGCAAAAGAGGAAGCTTCGAGTCAGTGGCTGGCAGGGCCGGCAGCAGGACCTTCTCGGCCAGGCCTCCCAGAAGCAGGCCGATCTCCTGGATGTGAGCGTGGGGGCGTGAGGGAGGCTGCGGGCCACAGGGCCCGGCCCAGCTCCAGCAAGGAGAGCGCCCCAGGCCGACAGCCCAGCTGGGGCAAAAAAACAGCCCTGAAGAGCCTCCCCAGCCTCCCAGCCCAGGCAGCAGAGCCAGCTCTGTCCAGGTCAAGGGGGATGGAGAACATGACCTCCCCAACACAGGTGTCCCCACCCCACCCCAGGGCCCTCTTCCCCTCCCCTGCCCCAGCCTGCCCGGGGGCATCTCTGATAGGAGGCAGGGCCCAGAGGAGGAGGAGGAGGAGTGTGCTGGTCCAAGGATGGAGGCCTAATTGGGGCAGGGGGCAAGGGCCTATGTCTGTGCCAGACTGTGGGAGGAACAGAATCTCAGCACTGGGGGGTGGGGGGAGGGTCGGGGGCCTCCAGCCCAACCAGGATCCGCCTGAGTGTCTTCACTCTAACATCCTTGAGGAGGGGTCATCCAAAGTCCTGGAAGACCTCCAAGAACGAGGAGCCCATTTCCCTTCGGGGCAGCTCCCAACAGCAGGACATCTTTCCTTAACTCAAACCTAAATGCGCCTCTTTGTAGCTTCCCTCAGGGGTCTTGATTCAGCTTCCTCCACACGACATGTCCCCCCTCGGCCTTCTCTTCTCCACACTCAACATCCCCAGTTCCTTTGCCTGGTCCACGTCTGCCAGAGCCTCCAGCCCCCTCTCAAGGTCCTTTCTATAGGGCATGCCTGTCCACCTCGGGCTGCCTCTGTGGTCTCCTTCCTCCTCTGGGTAGGAGCCACTGTCCCCCATGACTGGGCAGTCCTGTCTACTCCCGGCACACGGCCTGGGGCCCTGGGCCAGAGGTCACCCTCAGTGACCTCACCCTCACTACACCTGTCCACACTGGGCAGCCTTAGTGAATGTCTCCTTCCTCCTCTGGGTAGGAGCCTCTGTCCCCCATGACTGGGCAGTCCTGCCCTCAGAGGCCACCCTGAGTGACCTCACTCTTACCTTTGCGGAGATCCAGCAACAGGTCAGAATGCATCCCTGCTCCTCGGACAGCAAGAGCGGGGGCTCTCCCTCCTCCTCCTCCTCCTCCTCTTCAGACCTCAGGCCCGCAGCTCTGCCTTGCCACACAGCAGCATTGATGGCCAAACCCATGTTGGCCAGGGAAGGTGCAGCAGCTGCTAAGACGAGGGTGGAGTGAGGGCCGTCAAGGGGCAAGAGCAGAGGGAGAGGAGCTCCCAGAGGATCCAGGGAGCTGGGAGCCTGGGCTTTGGGAAGCAGGGCAGGGTAGGCCCTGGGAGAAGAGCTGGATATAGGCTCCAGGGCACACAGGGACGAGCCTCCCTGTTCATGGTGGGGCAAGGAAGGTGGTGGGACCCACCTGGCTGCAAATCTTCTCCAGAACCCTGCAGTACGGCCAGGAGAAAGGAGGCCACCTCAGCCAGCGTCTTCACGGTAGCCAAGAGCAGCTCCTGCCAGGACCCCTGCGTAGAGGCCTGCCGCATGGACCGTCCCGTGCAGGGGGCCTCCAGGAGGCATCGACGCAGGGCACACAGAGGTCCTGAGAAAGGGATACCTGCTCCATCAGCTCCCTGGGCCTTCCCTGCACCCTCATCCCTCCTTTGCCTGGCCCCACCCAGCTCCAGATTATCTCCTAGCCCAGCCTGGCCTTGAGAGAGCCCCAAACTCCCCAAAGCCCCCGTTGACAATGGCTGCCTGGAAACCACCCTTAGGAGGATAAAGGGGGATGGGGTGGGCAGGGGCCAAGGGCAGCAGGGAAGGGAAGAGTGAGACCTGGGGCACAGAACGGGTGGGACAAGGAGAGGACACTGTGGGGACGATGGGAGGGAAGAGAGAGCACAGAGAAGGAAGCCAGCGGGGAGGAAATTACCTGGAGGATGCCATGGGGAAGAAAAAGAATGAAGGGACAGTGAGAGAAAGGATCAAACTGGGGGCAGAGTCTAGAGAGAGGGAACTGGGGGGACACAGAGGGAAGAGATGGAATTACGAATATAGAATGAGACACAGGGGAAAGGGAGAACTCAGTGAAACAGGGAGACAACTGGGGGGACACTGTGGCAAAGAGATAACTGAGGGATGTAGTGGGAGTAAAAAGTAGAACTAGAACAACAGACTGGGGAAAGGGAAAGAGCACTTGGCACAAGAGAAAACTGATGGAACATAATGGGGAAGAGAAAGAAGCAGGGGCACCCAATGGTGAGGAAAGAGAAACAAAGGCAGACAAAGGTGAGGAGAGAAGTGGGGGCACCCAATGGTGAAGAGAGAGAAACAAGGACACACAAAGGTGAGGAGGGAAGCAGGGGCACCCAATGGTGAGGAGAGAGAAACAAGGGCAGACAAAGGTGAGCAAAGAAGTGGGGGCACCCAATGGTGAAGAGAGAGAAACAAGGGCAGACAAAGGTGAGGAGAGAAGCAGGGGCACCCAATGGTGAGGAGAGAGAAACAAAGGCGCACACGGGTAAGGAGAGAGAAACAAACGCAGACAAAGGTAAGGAGAGAAGTGGGGGCACCCAATGGTGAAGAGAGAGAAACAAGGGCAGACAAAGTTGAGGAGAGAAAGGGGGGCCCCCAATGGTGAAGAGAGAGAAACAAGGACACACAGAGGTGGGGAAAGAAGCAGGGGCACCCAATGGTGAGGAGAGAGAAACAAAGGTGCACACTGGTAAGGAGAGAGAAACAAAGGCAGACAAAGGTGAGGAGAGAAGTGGGGGCACCCAATGGTGAAGAGAGAGAAACAAGGGCAGACAAAGGTGAGGAGAGAAGCAGGGGCACCCAATGGTGAGGAGAGAGAAACAAAGGTGCACACTGGTAAGGAGAGAGAAACAAAGGCAGACAAAGGTGAGGAGAGAAGTGGGGGCACCCA